TCCCATCCAGATGCATTCATTATGAGAAACAAGTCCCTAAGATATTGCCTGGAAATTCTCTATTCTCTCAAATTTCCATGTAATTCCAACTCATTAAGTTCCCAACTTGTATCCTTTATTATTTAGTTAAGTGCGCGCTTTTAATTCCTCAATTATTTTTTTATTTTAATCCTTATAATATTTGTATAAGCACATTTAATCTTCAATTAATTGAAATGTGCACATCTGCATGTAAATCTTCACGAATTTAATTAATTATTAATAATTACATCATTTAACTGATCATTCGTTAAGTTTGTGAAATGCTCTCTTTTGATTGTTAACGCAAAAGAAGAGAACACATAAGATTTCTTCCTCTTGACAGTTTTAGACATTTAAAGCCTGTTTGGAAAGCCGCCTTGGAAATGAATTTGGGTGTAATTTGATGTAATAACACGGTTTGGTATATTTGTTTGGCCAAGTAATTACTTGGTCAGCATGAAATTGGGTGTAATTGGAGGGGTGTAATTACACTCTCCAATTCTCAAGAGGGAGTTGAGAATTTGTGGTAATTACACTGTGTAATTACAAGGTTGCTTTTTAGTTTCTTTCCTTTTTGTTTTTATTTTAATTTATTTTATTTATAATTTTATTTCTATTATTTTAATTTTTAAATTTTATTTTTACCTTTTAATTTCTTTTGAAATTTTAAAATATTTTTTTGTACATTATTTCTTTTATTTCTCTATCTTTGCTTCTTGTGATTCCATGTAATTGCTTATATTTTATTTATTTATTTATTTATTTATTTATTTATTTTATTATTCTATTTTTTGAAACTACACCTCCTACTATTAGAAATAATGAGTCATTAACAAACTTGGCATATAATGAGTGATGCAATTAAAGTGAAATTTTGTTGTTGAATGTGGTTATAAACTTATCATATTTTCTAATCTTAAGTTATAGTGGAACTTACTATTATTATGTCGGAATTTGACATATGTTAAACTATTTTAATTTTTTGAATTTTGAAATTATGTTATATTCATGGTTCCAATTTACATATTTTAGTAGTATTCGCTCACATTGCATCTTGTTCATTTTTTAGTTAGAATTGATAGATCAGTTTTGTCAAACATTTGAATAATGTTGACATTATATTTATAAATATTAATTTATTTTGTCAAACATGAATTCCAAAATATTCTTACAAAATATATATAAATTAATTTTACAATATTGGTTATAAATATATGATTACTAATTAACGTATATGCACGAAAAATATACATCTTAAATACCAAATATAATATCATTTATAGGCATATATTTATTATATTAACTTTTAAGTTTTGATAATTACTTAATTTAAAATTTAACTAATTGTGTAATTATACTTGTGCAACCAAGCAGTAAACTTGTAATTATACTTTAATTATATTATGACAAATAAACAGGTCGTCGTAATTATATAACTGTGTAATTGCTACTCTAGTAATTACACCAATTCTAGTTACCTGATGGCTTTCCAAACATACCTTAGTTCGTGGAACGAAACTCAATTTCCTAAAGAAACAACGTTACACTTGCGAAAATTTCATTGTTGGTGGTACACAAAATTATCCCTTATATTTGGGTGCATGCTTCAATTATGCTTTTAATCCCTAACATTTGGTTTATCCTTTATCATAATTACCATCGAGTATCCTATAATCCTAGCGTAAATTGTACGTTCAACATTGCGAATTTTATTGTCACTCTCTACTTTTCTTTTTTGTTAGTAGCTAATTTATCCCCACCACCAAAGTCAAAGGATGTGGTGCAGCGAATATGGCTGCTCTTCCTTTAACCAGAGATTTCGGGTTCGAGCTCTAAGTAAGGAAAAATCCTTGGTAGGGAGCACTTCCTTCCTAATGGGACCCTATGCGGTGCGAATCCGTATATAATTGGGCTCAAATGCGAGCACTGAATACCTGGTGGGAAACCAAAAAAAAAAAAGTTTTATCCCCTACTGTTAGGGGCTTGGCTCTTTGACATCGGGCATGGTGCGGCTGTGACAAGGAGTGGATGTGATGACCTTGCCATTGGCCTATGTGCGGGCAAAATGATCATGCGGGCAATGGGCAAGACATTGTCATGTGGGTTGTTGTGGGCAAGGCATGCTTGGCAAAGGCTTGACAAGGCAGTATGAGCAAGTTGACAAGGCAATGCCAAGTGCGGGCTAAGCTAAGGCAAAACACTGTAGGATGATGGCAAAGGCTTTAAATAGCTAATGCGCGGTTATGTGAAGCAAAATACAAGCATTGGCAAGGGTGAAACAAGAGTTGACATAGATAAGGCAGAAACCTGGCCAAGGCATGTGCAGGCAACAGTGGCGTCGGGCATGTGCGACAAAGTAACGAGCGGTAGGTTGCGAGCAAGACATTGGTGCAGAGAAATGTCAAAAGGAACCAAGGCTGGGCGCAATGCCAACCTTGGGCGTGCAACAGCTGGCCAACAAAAGCAAACATGCAGTGCACAAGTTAGAGTAGTTGACGGTTACCTTTTTGTAACTACTTGTATCCATGTCTGCTTTATGCTTGTATCTAATATCATTTCGTGTAGATCATGGCCTATGTGGTTGGGGATGTCAACTACAAGATACAAACAGATTTAGCATTAGCCCGCCAAGTGGCAAAAGCTGTAGACAACAAGTGTCAATGTGCTTTCAAGTGCCAAAGGCTGCCTATGTGCTATAAATAGGTGCTTTTGGACTTAGTCAGATGGGTGTGTGAAATTCAAAAAGTGAAACATGAGGGTTTCTAAGTGTGGGGATTAAAGCTAGGCATTGGGTAGGTCATAATGTTGGCTAAAGAACGACTTGCGTTCTTTGTCAAAGTGGGGTTCTGATCGACTCGTGATCATAGTCAAGTGAGAGTTTCCTTTGTAAGGTTTTCGAATTAATAACAATGTAGGAATTTTTTCGTATTTGATTGTGTTATATTTACGTTTGTTGCCTAAAATAATCTAAGTACAAACTTGCTGAAAATTTGGTTAATTATTGGAAAGGCTGAGTCAAGTGCAATTTGAATGCCGTGCGGATGTGACTTTTGAAAACTTTTCCGATGCCAGGCGAACGGGGCTCCCAGGCCGGGACATCTGGCATAATAATTTAGAAAAAGCGGAATTGGATAACTTCTTTGGCTTTATTGAGGCTTTTGTAGTGTGTCCTCTCTACAATAGAGAAAGCCTTATTACCCTATAAGAATAGACATAATGCTTTAACCTTCCCAACCGGTAACTTCGTAGGCGTCTATTTAGCGAAGAATTTTTTTATGCCCGAAACTTGGGTTATAGAATTTTCCCGCTGGACTGACAAAAATCGCCCTTGTGACACCTACCGTTAATGAACTTATAGTACTTTGACTCAATTGCTATGGAAATTTTCCTTCTCTTTGTTAAGATTTTTCTCTTATACTGAACATGTTGTATCGTAACCCACAGTTTGGAGTAGTAAAATACAACTAATACTATGGATGAAATAAGAGCCCGTTTTGGACATAAAATATTTTTTGCTTTTTTTCGAAATCAACGTTGGTACACAAAATTTTCAATTTTCACTTGAAGATGCATATTGGAAATTTTCGAAAATTTGAAAAAATCCAAAAAGCCGTTTTTCAAAATTTTCACTCAAATCACTTCCAAAACTTCAAAAAGAACCCAAACTGAAATTTATGTCCAAACACAACTCTAAATTTCAAATACCATTTTCACTTGAAATTTTTTTTTACCATTTTTTTGAAATTTTATAATTCTTATGTCCAAACGCCTACTAAATGTTACAAGAAAACGGGATAGAATTATAGAAATATTGAAGGTGTCAAAATTTGTCAAAGAACAAGATAGGGACTTGAGGATGAAATATGCTTGTTCCCTTTTTGGTTTTATAGTCAAAATTAATTGGCTCAATTAATTCGAATTCACATCGAATAAGTTGGTTAGGGAGATAAAATGCGTTTTACAAAGAGAGTTTTCATTCTGATAGCTCAAATTTGAACTTATGATTAAATGTGGAGAAACATGAATCGTCCTGCTAATACAATTCTACTCATGTCCCCAAAGGGGCATAACATGTAGGACCCAAACACCACTTAATACATACTTCCAAACACGCTTCCTTATTTAGTCAAAAAAGGCAAATTGTGTATGAAATGAAATGAAATGAAATAAATGAGGACTGCTTTAGTAATAGTAGTTGCTTTAAAGACGTATTAGTCAATTATGTTAAATAAATTCAAAGTGTGTTTGGCACATAAAATACATTGACATACAAGTCTTCCTTTTATAAATCATGGCATTTTGCATTATTATATTCTCTGTGTGTGTCTTCATACACCTTATTCTCTTCTTTTATTCAATCATATAATGCTGAAAATTTCCCATTACCTGTTCTACATAATTGACCCTTATGCTTTATGGAGGCTATGTTCTAGTGTTAACTATATCTGAACATAATAATGATATAGAAACCTTCAGCAAACCTTCTTTTCCTCTATCTATCCCAGCAAGTTCCAAGAATTTAGAGAAAATATTTCGCTTTTGCTCAAGACACATTTGGATAAGTCAAGAATTTTTTTCTTAACAATTAATAAGTATATATTTTTATAGTATATTATATATTTTTTAAAAAAGATTTAAAATATTGGGTGTCCGAATTTGCATTGGCTATCATATTCTGGAATTTTTCATTCTTTATGGAAAGGAGGTAATACTTCCTTAGGATCACTACACACACCTTTTTGCTAGTTGTAAGAGTCGAAATGATTGACATCATGACCAAGAACACAGGAAGATATGTTGTCTTCTAAAATCTTCACCCAAAAAGAAAAAGAAATATTTCGTTTTAGGGCCTTTAAACAGGAATTCAAGATGATTCACAGATTTTTGCTTGCTATATTCCACGGCGCACGCCATCTGCATGAATTAGTGTATTAACCAATATTACCGTAGAAATTTATCAAGAAGTAAGGCAGCTCATGTGAATGCTTGAATATCACTTTTCTTGAAAATAAATTCGTTTATTAACAAATTAAAGAAGGGTCCTCTCCTCCATTTGAAAAGCTTTCAGGTATTTCAATTTTCCTCTGTAAACATACAAATCTTGTGATTAAACATGAACTGTTTTAATCTTTTCTGTCCTGCTTTCTGTAAACTTTACAAACAGAAATACAATGGTTGGGTAAGACCAGTTATGTGGCAGCTCAATCATATAGCCCCTCCTGTTCCCAGACATCAACAAGAAAGTCTACCATTTCCTGACAATTCAAATGTAGAAAATCAGCAAGTAGCCTTGAAAAAACTACATACCACAATCGTCCTAGTTTAACAAGACTCACCGATAGAGGGATTGACTGAGGGAAAGGCTTGTTGGTCCCTAGCAAAGTCTCGTAACTCGCACCAAAGCTGCAAGAAATGATGGTATGATACACTCATCACATATATATTTACAGTTGTATGAAAAGTAGATACTCTGAAAGCAGCAGCAGTAGGGAACTACTGTCTGAGGAATGTTTAGAAGGGAAAGCTCACCTTAGTTTAGGTTCTCGAGCTGCAGTACGCTTCTGAGGTGTTCTACTTCCAATCCATTCTTGCCTAGTTTTACTCCAAAGAATTAGACCTGTTCCAGCCAATGTTCAATTCAGCATATTAAAACACGTGGAGAGAAGTACAAAACTAAGCTAAGATGAAAAAGGAGAGCACTTGTGCTTCCAAAGCTAGGTCATGCCTTCCTCCAATTAGTGCACCCAGATCAATGGGATCTCTGCATGGGCAATAAGCCAAATCTAAAAGAATGAACAGTACAAAGAGCTGGTTTTGTCCACGCCAAGTGTTAATGAACCATTACACAACCTTGAATCAATTGATATGTTTGCAAATCGCGATTATAAAGACTACTTTTTTCCAATAACAGTGGTGCAAGGGCCAGGTTTTGTGCACCTTGACTATTCCACTTGACTATTCCACTGGGTACCTTCTATCACACATCGACAGAGGTAACAGCAAACTCTACGCCCTAAGGCTTAGACAGATGGAAAGTAATCACATAAAGTTTTGTCTCTGCTGGAATTTGACCTCTGATCTCTCATGGTTTTTCACCCACTATATTGACCAATAGGCCACACACTCTCTCGGGTGTAATTGCAGGCAATTTAAGAAATTTAACGGATAACTATTTTCTCTTTTATTATTTTTTGACATAGCTCTTAGGACACTACAGCTACGAATCTTATTTAGGTTCATTCCTTTACCATAATTAAACTTGTTCATCCCCTCGGTGGAACACCAACATACTGATTTGGATATCTCGAAGAAAGGTTACTACTACACCCTCTGTTTCAATTTATGCGTCTTACTTTCCTTTCTAGTATGTTTCAAAAACAATGCCTCTTTCTATAATTAGTAACTCTTTAACTCTAACTTTCCACATGATATATTTAAGACCATAAGATACAAGGGCATTTTGGTATACTATACATATCTAAAAGATTAAGACCACAAGATTTACAAGTCTTCCTTACTTTCTTAAACTCCGTGCCTAGTCAAAGTGTCAAACCAAGACAAATAAGTTGAAAGGGAGGGAGTAGTAAAATATAGCCATGATATGCGAAGAAAGCAAAAAGGAGAGAAATATGCACTTGCCATGATTTACAAATTCAGCGTTGTTGTTTGTGGTGCTGGAGCTACTATGGGGATCAAGGCCCTGATTTGAAGTACTAATTGACGAGATGCTTCTCTGTGAAGGAAATGCGCTATTCTCCATCTCACAAGCACTACTGCTCCAGAAGTCGTCCCTTGAACTACGTTTCCTCAAGTGTTTACCCTGAACTTTCTGTCCTTTGGATGGCCTATCCACTGAAATAACATGTGGGGGCTTTATACAGCACCCAAGACAACTTCTGCTCTGTTACAATCAGGTTTATAACCATAAAAGATGATTAGTTTAACCAGAAAAGAAAAAAAATCTGTATGCTGTCAACAAGATATAAGGGAACAAATGGACAGAAACCTCATGATATTATATTGTCAAGTTTGAGATCCATTTCATAACAACCAGTGCTCACCCCCTTCATCCAGGGGCATGTGAGATCTGTTACAATGATGGCCCTATATGGCTATACCATTGTGCAAGTGACGCAGTAAGTCCCATGTAATTAATGATAACATCCAAAACAATGATTATACTTTATAAATACATTGCAAGCCTGCTACTAATTGGTTCAAGCAACTTTGAGACATTTGAACTGCAGTTTACCATGTACAAATCATTGGTTTGACATAATCACGTCAGTCGTGAATACCCACAAACACATCAAAAATAAGGACATCTTACTTCACAAACAACTAGTGAAAATTCTCAAATTCAGGTACTTAAAAAAGCAATTAAGGAAGTGAACATACAACCCAAAGGTGTTACTATTTTTTTTTTTTTAAATCTCAAAGTGACTAGTTATTAAGTCTCACATAAACTTATAAAAACAGTTGGATTTCCTCCTGACATACTGGAATCAAAGCAAAACAAAACATCCAAGCAAGGCTCAAAAAGTTATGCCCCATGTTATTTGCTGGTCTAACGGCATATTTGATGTGATGACAATGTTGTGGAAGTGAAAGAGTTGTACCATAAGGGAGTGCTACATAAATGATACTTACTATTTAGCTACCTCATGCATTTGGTTGGGTTAAGAACAGAAGTATGAGAGGATAAAAGTAAACCAGATGCACTATAAGTTAAGACTTAAGAGTATTTCCCTTCTTTGATAATAGCAGGAAAAAGTTCCAGCCTTTTCAACCCCATTAAAATTAGACAAAAAGGAATGAACATTTTTTACTTCTTTTATAGTCATAGTAGAGGAAGAAAATCACCAGTACTCCACCCAAGAAGAATAAACGTTTGGTTTCTCCATCCTTTACCCTTCATCTCCCCTGCTTGGAATTAAAGAGAGTCAATGATGACATTTTACTTCTTTTATAGTCATAGTAGAGGAAGAAAATCACCAGTACTCCACCCAAGAAGAATAAACGTTTGGTTTCTCCATCCTTTACCCTTCATCTCCCCTGCTTGGAATTAAAGAGAGTCAATGATGACATTATTCCTCTTAGCGTTGTTGGATGGGAGACCAGAGACCCCAATAAAGTGGTTTTCCACATTGCCCGGAAGACAACTTTGATAAATAAGAGCTGAAAACGGGCCTCAAGAGGAACTTGGAGATCTTATCGGCCATTTATCTTACGATAACCCGACATCCACTCAACTTTCAGCTAGCTTCTCAGGGTCTAGGGTGTACCCTAGCATGTCGTTTAGACGTATACAAAATATGATATATTTCCACGTTAGGAATACACCAAACACACAACAAAATGCCATAACAGAGCATACAATCTAAAGCTTAGAAATTGTATGACAATGCAGGGATATATGTGAGATTTAAAGAATCTAAATTTTTCGAGAACCTAAAATTTAGGCTGCCAACTTCAACAATTACACTTCAATCTCAAATTAGTTGGGGTCTGAATCCTCACTATCCAATCCACTCCATCTGAGCACTTGTCATTCCAGTACCTAATAATTCGTCTTTCGAGCCGAATTGGGATTTCCTAAGAAAACATTGAGTACTGGAACACATTAGGCCCACCTGAAGCAACATCGATATAGCAGATATATATAGCCATTAGTTTGGGATTGAAATAGCTGTTCTTGTTCAATTCTCACCAGCCTTCCAAATTTCACATGGCAATACAATACAAAAACATCTAATTCGACACAAGTTCATATTTTATACAAATCTTTCATGTCCTTCACAGAATTCATTACATCGATTTTATTTCTCATTTCACCGATGCTTTGATAATGACTAAGTTATTAAGTATTTCTGATTGCATTGTTCAGGAATGGATCAAGTCATCTGCTGCGGTTCCAATACTACCAAAATGGACTTTGAACCCATTCTAACTAACAGGGATTTCTTCATTGAAAGATTAAGATTTAAGAGGCCTGCTAGAGGAACCAACCCCTTCTCCAATACCCAAAATAGAAAATAAAGCAATAATATGCTTCAGAATTGCTCATATCGTCATCATTTCAATCAAAACTTAAAAAATAGGATATAACTAACCTAAAGTTATCTTCAAAACTCCAATAGGGAAGTGTTCAAAAATCAAAAGCTAGTCTACTGAATGCAATGCAAAAGATAAGTCTTGTCATGAATAAGTGTAGCTCGGATTACTACTTAAACAAATTCCTCGACTCATATTTGACTCATCTTGCTGTATAGAAGCATAACCCACAAAAGGAACTTTCTTTGAGAACAAATTGTTCGAGGTGATCAGTGAACTCATGCAATTTTTTTCAGCCTTTGGGTGCTTAACTAATCATAGCAATCATTACACAGAAGAAGATAACTAGCAACTTATAGCAAAATGAAAATTGGCGTCAAAACTTTCCAGAAATAGAAAGGGAATACTCAATCTACTGTACACCAAATTTGAGACATAGTACATAAATAAACTCTTACATTAATAAGTGCCCTCCATGTCTCCTTCAACTTTTCCATCATTGTACCAATGACGGCTCGAAGATATTCTCCAAAAAAACCCAAAATAGAACACAAAGGCATACGTCTAAAACATGCCTCAATTTCGATTTTTAAACATATATTATACATGGCTAGAAGCAAAGCATTTGATACTGTAGCTAGCAAGACAATTACGTATAGAATATAACATTCTAGCAACAAACTCCCTCAACATAACAAGCAAAAGCATGGGAAGAAAAAAACCAAAAAGAAACAGAAAAAGAAGCACCAGCTCATCTTCCTTTCTATTCACTATTATTGCTTGCTTAGCCTGTAAGCAAGTACCTCAGATTCCAAACCACCAAATAAAAGCCAATTATTGCCCACTAAACCAAGAAAAGAATTCTAAAAAAATATTATTATCAAACTTTCTAACTTTTCATTCCTTATGTCATTTATTTACTGTGTATCACTCCCTCTGTCCCAATTTATCTGACACTAATTCCTTCTTATTCTGTTTAACTTTGAACTTCCCATGATTTATAGCCATAGAAATATATATGAGATGTTTTAGTTTTTCCTTTCTTTGTCAAATTCCGTACTAAGTCAAACACCATCGCATAAATTTGGACGAGAGAGTACATAAAAAGGTAAACTCGGTGCTTATACCTCAACTAATCCACCAGGCAACCAGCTACAGGCCACAAGCACAAATGGGGACTGAGATCTCCAGGTTTTTATCTTAGCCTCAACCACTCAACCAACCCTTGAGGGGAGTGTATATGAGTGTGCGTGTGAAATACAAAACCACCAAACAAGGGGAAAATAGAAAAGGGATAGCAGAATATTTTATATGAAAACGAAATAAAAATCAAATGACTGACCCCATGCAAGCGAAGAAACGTGAAATCCAGGAGGCTACTGATCTACAAAGTTGCATTTACACTGTGAAATAAGCAAATGGGTATTCGTCAAAGCATAGATTTGAACCTCTGGACCTCCAATACTGACACAAAATTCATCTCTTGCCTGCAGTTTTAACAAAAAAGATTCAAACTTTCCAATTTTTTCTATCACTTAGCATAGGAAAAAGAGACATTTGGGTGTAAAAATGTATAAAATTTTCTGAGGTTGCGTTACTTACAATTTCTTAGCCTTTTCTGCTTCTTTGCTCTTATGGAATTAAGCAGTAAACAAGAAGAGAAAAAAAATCCTGGTAGGTGTGTTTTGTTCTTGTTTATGTTTTTTTCCTCTTGGTTTTATCAATATGTTTTATGGATTTGTAGAAGAAAGTCAAGAATGGAGATGGGGAAATGGTGAAGGAGGGGNATGTAAGAAAATTCTCCAAGTTGGCACCTTTGAAATTTGGTTCCTTTTGATTGTGCTATTCTTTTATCTACTTTTATCCAATTAAAATGCACCATTTATTTTAACTATTTCTTTGTACTTGGCCACTAGGAAAATGAAGGAAAATAATGGACACTAGGAAAAGAGGATAAACGGTAGAGAAAGTGAGGGAAAATAATTTACTTTTCTTAGCTTGATTTTGGTGGAAAACGAGAAAGAAAAGCAAAATAATTTGAATCTTCTTGATTATGAAGTCTTGGATTCAAGAGAAAGATGATTTTCTCTATTGTTTGCTTTCCTTATTATTTACGCATATCAAGCAAGAGGCGAAAAACTTTATTGTTCTTCTTCCTTAACATTAGTTTTTTCCAAGTACAATCAAACCTCTCTATAACAACTTCGTTTGTTTCGAATATTTTTAGATGTTATAGCGAAGTGCTGCTATATAAAACAAATAGACATAACAAGAAAATTGGTTTCGGAAAAGCTTGGCTTTTTATAATGAAGTGTTGTCATATATGGATATTGTTATAGAGAGGTCCGACTGTAAAAACAAATATTATATTTCTCTCTATTTATAACTAATTGCTTAAGATCCTCCGGTTGGAGATAATGAAACCAAATAGATTAGGAAAGGGAGGTCTATATAGGTGGGATCTCTCTCATAATAGGTGTAAATTCAATAACTTAATTTTTATTAGAATTTAGAATCCTAAATTTTCCCCTTTTAGGTTTTTTTTTCTTGTATAACTCGACAATAATGTATTATCGCATTACCTCATTCTTGCACCTAATAATCCTTTTAATGGAACTCACCTAGAGAATAGAGTAATTAAAGTAATAAGGCCTTTGTCCACTGAGATTCTTTTTACCAGGACAATCATTTCAAGCAAAAGAAAAAGAAGCAAATTTTATGAAGCCATTTCCTCATTATTGACCAAATGCTGTTCTAAATGAGGCAAGAAGTTTCAAATTCATAAATAGCCAATAACAGATCATAAGACTACAATTTTTCATTCCGTATTCATAGTATTATATTTGGTTCATGAATTCGGTATAAGCTCATTGTAAGACAATAATCTATCACATCTATAGTCCCCTCCTCCCAAATTCTGGTCCCCACTCTCTTTGAACCAAACATGTGATTCTTTTTTTGTTTCTTTATTTAATCATTCGGTCTCGGAAACTTACTGTCCGACTAATTGGATTCATGTCGCGTAAGGCCCACCAAAGGAGGAAAGTTTTTCCAATCCAAGGACTCGACCAAACATGTGATTCTATTCTTCTGAAGGGTAGCCTAGAAACAAGAGGACCTGAATGCAATAAGGAAACCAAAGGTTTATATGTTTGCTAAAATATGCTGCTAACATCATCCAACTATAAACCACTTTATAACCTAAGTATTAATGAGAAGGGGAGCCTTGGAGCAACGAAAAAGCTGTTTCGGTGTTATAGGTCACAAGTTCAAGTCGTAGAATCAGTCACTAACGCTTGCGTTAAGGTAGATCACCGGTTCAAGTCGTGGAATCAGCTACTAACGCTTTCGTTAAGGTAGGCTGCCTACATCACACCCCTTTGGGTGCAGGGTGCTTTGTGCACCAGGCTGCCTTTTTAACCCGAGTACAAATGAATTTTGGTAAATGGTTATAACTCAAAAAATTATTCCAAAGTGTCACGTTTACAGATATTACATGTTCTAGGTTGGTACAATTCTAGAAGTGTACATACATCATGTAGTGAGGATAGGTGGTAGTAACTGAGATTTGGTACCAAGAACAGAAGCTTTTGTGTCTGGGAAGAACTTAAATCCAGGAATTGCTGTAATCTGTCCAGTGTTTGAAATATTTATAGGGTAGCTAAGAAGGTGGCCTGGAAGATCTAAATCAAATGTGTCACTGGAATAAAGCTTCCAACTCTCATCAGCCATTCCATTTACTTTCCTAACACATTCTAGACTCGTTGGATCGACAAACGAATCATCTGCATAGTTCAGATGCTCACACCATAATGCCATTCGAAAACCATATATTTTTCCTCTAGGTGGTTGATTAGCTGCAAGATGATATGGTTGGTAGCCACCCATAGCAATCTCAGAATCTCTTGCACCATCCATTGACCTTTGATTTATGTTCGCGGAGCCAATTATGATGTATTCATCATCAACTTCAAGAAAGAAAGGAAAGAAGCAAGCATTAGTTTGATCATATTTTGCTAGAGATAAATGGTAAATAAAGCTAAGAATGGTAAACTTATTGACTTACCAATCATCATTTTTGAATGAACATAGATCATAAAGCGCCTGAACTCTTGAGCTCTTGAATAATCAGTATCAGGATCTGGTTTCTCTGGAGGTTTGTATTCTCCAGGCTTTTCGACTTCACGGTTGCCAAGGCAGAAAAATGTCAAGTAATCTCTAGGATCAGCATTAGTTATTCCTTTAGCCTGAAGGGCATTACATATGTCTGTGTACATCATTTCCATTGTCCTTCTTTGCCAATCTAAAATTGCCTGAACTGAATCACTTTCAGGTATACCTTCTGGCCACATTGGAATAACAACGTAAACTGTAAATCTCTCTCCTGCTTGAATCTTGCTCACTATCTTAAGCGAGATCTCCTTTGGGATAAGATGCAAAGCTCCGATGTCCTCGAGCTTGATATCTTCTGATGGCTTCCAACCATAGCAGCTTCCAACAAAGTATTGGTTTTCAATGTAAATGAAATTCTTAGCTCGACGAATGGCACTAATGTATGCATCATGGATACTTTGATCAATGACACTATCCTTGCCAGTAACAAGGCCTACCTCAGCAGCTTCTTCTGGTTTTCCAGGGAAGTCAACGACAGCACCACCATCAATGGATCGAAATATCTGAACGTTCCACGTTTCTCTATCCTTCGATGCTGTAACTTCTGTTGGACGAATAATAAATTTATCAAGCTCAGTCATAGAATAGATAAATCGATTTCCAATCTGTTTCCGCCACCTTTGTTCAAAATTGTACAGGGCGTCCCAAGCAACAGGTCCTTCTAGCCTGCAATGAATGTCATGCCAGGGCTCTCTTGGACCACCTTTTGCGATTGAAGAGCCTGGAAAATTGGGCTGATGGAAATCTTGTTTATGAACTGTATCCAATGTTCTGAATAAGGAGTGTTCGCGAGTGTCATATCGCCCATCACAAAGATCAATACCACCAAGAAAGCTAACTATCATTCTTTTCTGTGACATCCCTCCTGGAATTTCACTGTCTACCACAATAGTCTTTTGATGGTGAGTAAACATTGTACCAACCTGAAACCCCTGAGTTATAGTCTTTCCACTGTCAGGGTTCCGCGGACACAAACAACAATGGACTTCTGTGTTCTTAAAATACTCTGCAGTTTCTTGATCATGGGTTGACATTAGTCCATTTCTTTTTAATACCTCAACCGAAGTTCTGTCATCCCAAATTAACAAGAGAACATTAACACCCTCACTCGCCTTTTTTTTAAGGAGCTCGCCAAGAGTAAGGTCTCCGCCTATCTTTGGCCTCTTTGGGTTTCTTATCAAGGTGATTTTAGTATATACAGACCAACCGGCTATATAAATTAAGTGCTTTGCATTGTTGATTGCATCAAAAATGTCTTCCCAACATCTCTGAGGTTCAAAAAGTCCTTGAGACTTGAGATAATTTGTGATATCATCGTCTGAGATGTCCGCATCAGGATAGAGTGTAACTTGACACCCTTGTCTCTCTTTAAAGAAGGTATAAGGGACTCCTCCAAATGCCAGGGAGTTAATTCCTCTAGACCAATTACTGTCTTGTTTAACGTTAAAGAACTGCAACCTTACATGGATTTTTGAACGACCACTTATTGGATAGCCGTCTTCATCTAATATTGGTACCCATCTATCGACTACATATCTATTCAAGACTTCCTCAACAGGGAGATAAGCTCTTCCAATTAGTGTCGCGCTAACAGGATTCTCATCTTTTATTGTAAAAATGATGTTAGAAATCTCATGTGCACAATAAATACGAAATGTTTCATACCACCGAGGGTTGGAAGGGTCATTTTCAAAGATTCTGGTCCTCCCAACTCTTGCCTTATCTAAATCTATGGTTGCATAGAATTTTGTACCAGAAATCTGCAATATTATCAATACAGGTTTTGAAAAGCTTAAAGCAAGTAATGGACAAAATTGAAGATCACAATAAGTCAATACAAGTGCAAACATAATGCTGGTTGTATAGACATAGTACCTCTGGCGCACAAAAGAACAATTTCTTGACATTGTTTAGAAATCTTCTTGATACTTTCTGGGGAGATGCAGTCTACGATAACAATATGAAGATCAGAAAGACGTTAGAGGCTACAAAGCGGATCTTTATCAAAGATCAAGTATCAGAAATCAGCAACATACATGTAAACAGTATATTGACTATTGAGAATTCATTTGTATTAAGCCTCAAACTAATGAGTTCATGCAGTCTCAGCCTTAATTAGCACTTCCTAGAGGCTTAACAGTTCACAGGTTTTAGGTATTACTAGTAATTTCTATTAGTGCTAGGCAGCTGCTGATATACCATTTAAGCCACAGCTCGAGAAATATAAGAATTATTAGTTCGGCTAGCATGCATATATATATATATATATATATATATATATATATATATATCAATACTTTCTTCGAGGTCGTCATATCGTTCGTNTATATATATATATATATATATATATATTAGTATCAATTAATAACCCGTAGCTAGGTGATCATTATTTCTGCTCCATGGGCAACTATACTATGGAATAAATTCTAGGCATATAGCACTTCTATATGTACCAAATATTATTCACCGCAAGTATGGGGTAATCCACAAATCACAGTATGGCTCTCGTGAGTGTGGCATTCCTTATTTGCCATATTGCAAGCTCTACCCTCACCTAAGGGCGCGACTGTAAGCCCTTTTTTAGGTCCTGTAATTGGTAGCGAGTAGCCATACTCCTAAGCATTATCCATCTAGCTGATGTGAAGCGACCATGGGCGGACCTAGGGGGCGGAAGGGGGTCCGAACCCCTTTGCTGGAATATTACATTGTGTATGTGAGGTCAACTTTGATATTTACGTTTTTAGCTTTGGCCGTTCCCTACAGATTTTAATGCATAGGATGATTTCCATTTTCCAGATTTCATTCCCAGCATTAGTAAAAGTAAGGCCCAAAGTAGTTACTTTCTTTTCTTCTATGCTTAATTGCTGCAAAACCAGTGCACTAAATTAATTTACATGACAGTGTCAATGAACCTGAAGCACACAAACTATTCAACTCCAAATACACGATGCCTTCCGATCCAACAATGTACTTTGGACATCCCAAACGAAGATATGAATTCCATCAATATTTTAAACCCTTTGTATCCCACGTTGGCGATTTTCAAAGATATATAATATATGATTGATGGGCACTAATTTGGAAAGGAAAAACAAACAAAAAGTTTTAAGACAATAGAAAACTGCAAAGTGAAAGAAAAAAACATAAGAAATTTTAAAAGGGCTCAATGGAACAGGGAAGTGGGAAGAAATGTTAAACGGGGCATGACAAGGCGAGCAAAAGTTTAGGCGGGTTAAGGCTAGTCTTTTCCTTCGCCGTCCTACCCTGTTTATCTTTGCATGTTTACCTTTTTTATATTTGAACCTCCTTCGTGAAAATCCTGCCTCTACCACTGGAAGCGGCAATAACAGATTGAATGAGTTCATTGAGCTATCATTTCGTAGTTTTACTACAAATATGCCTCTTAACCATGTGAACAATGAGGAACGACCACTAGCACACAAATTAACTTGTCAATTTTTCTTTCTTTCCTTTTTCCTCCTTTCTTTATCTCTCTCTTTAATTTTTTGCATTGCATATTATCTGATCCTATAGAGGCGAATTTGAAATCTAGAGTCAAGTGAATTAGAATGATTGTAATGTTATATATGGATACATTTGAATTTTTTGCATTTATATACATAGTTCTAGACGAGAGTAATGAGTTCAATTGAACCTGCCAATAGAATCTGCCTTAGATATGCTTATGAGTTATGTCTAATCCTACTGCAAAACTGCAATGATATTATAAAACAGAAAATGCATACACAGAACTTAAAATCATGAAGCTGTTCCTGATATAAACGAAGACAAACTAAAGTTTAGAGTGAAAAGATTACCGGGCCACAACAATCACCACAGCCAC